GGTCCCCTGGTCCCGCGGTCCTTTGGCCCCTTGGTCCTGTGGTCCTCTGGTTCCCTGGTCTTGGAGCCTTGCAAATATAGCAGAGGGCAAATTTTTTTTTGATCCTTATTTAATTTTTTTTTGATCCTCGGGGTCTAAATTTTTTTTTGATCCTTATCATTTTTTTTTTGATCCCTCACCCCTCCCCACACCCACACCCACGACATGCGCACCCAGCCCCACACCCACCCACATGCACATCACACCCCTGCACACCCCCACCCCATCCCAGCCCCCCCCAAACTATCCCTCCCACCTGCGCCCCCTTGCATACCCACCCATCTCAGCTGATACGTCTCTCGAAGCGTGCCAGGACAATCATTTAGAAGGTACAATCGTAAAGTGCCTATACGCTCGTATATGTTTAGTATATGAACATATGAATATATATATATATATACACACATATTGTGTAAAGGTATATTTTAGTACAGTTTGATACACACATGTCTGTCTGTCTGTCTGTCTGTCTGTCTGTCTGTCTGCATGGATGGATGGATGGATGGATGGATGGATGGATGGTATGTATGTATGTATGTATGTATGTATGTATGTATGTATGTATGTATATGTGTAGGTAGCATATCTTTGCACAATATGCATACTTGCACTTGTGCAGACTTGTGCTACTTTGAGGCCCGACAACCCGAGATTTGACCCAGCATGTTGGTGTTGGTTTTTTAGACGTCGAGGAGACACAATCCAGTGGGTGCTCACAAACGGAGGTTGGACTGTTCAATCAGAGATGCTTGTTACTGTTCTTTGGCTTTGCCCTGCTGTGCAGATTGCTTCCGAGTTGATTGCGTTGCCTTCGTGCAGGGTTCAGAAATATGGAACAACAAGACCGGAGAGGTCCGCAGGTTGAGGAAGAGCAGCAGAAAGGACATTGCAATTTTGACGCTGGTGTTGCCCGGACTTCTGCTTTCAGGCCTGTCACGCGCACCTTGTGTGTTTCAGGAATCATCCAAAGCATTGCGACCGGCCCTGAGGCACGCAGAGAGACCCCCAGACTTCTTGGAACAGCGTTCCCATATAATTACAGGCATAGGCTGGTTCACTGCATTGTGGGTGTGTAGTGTAGCTGGAGCTGAGTGTCCACCGTATCTTGTTGTTGTGCGTCTGTGAGCAGCTGTCTGGCTGTCTCCTGGCCTGGCAGGAGTGGCGCTGGTGATAGCAAAGCTGAGTTCTGCATTACGGAAGCTTGGTATGGCATGGCACTGGTGTCGTTACGTGCTTGCAACACGCCGTTGGGTGTAAGTCAACTTTTGGCGGGGCTCAGGTGCAACCGCAGACGGTGACAGGACACGGGGAGTTGGCAGAGCCTCTGCAAGTTGAAGTGCGCACCTGGGGGCCAGACACCGGCGAGGGTCCGATCAGTCACGGAAGCGTACTATGGGTTCATGGGGAAACTATGGAGATTTCAGCCACAGCTGGGGAGTCCGAGCTGCACTTTGAAGTCTGCAAGGCGGACCGTGATGAAGTTTGGCCACCTGAGGGATCAGTTCATGCGAAGGTCATGCTTGATGCAGATGTTTCTGGTTTGAGAGCGAGACGCAGTATGCCGCTGGATAGCTCTGTGCTGCCTGGTGCCTGCCTAGTGGCAGATATTTCGAAGACCAGACTTCAGGCGGGCGGAAGCGTGAAAAAGACCGGCCTCACCTGGCATCCAAACGTCCAGGAAACTCGGCCGTTCCAAGGAGATCGAGGTGCTCGTCGCAACACGCCTTTCCTGCCGGCAAACCCTCCGATTCAGGAGGCCGAAGAGAGGCGCCCCCAGACCAACCAGACCAGGAGATCCGTGCAATCGGAAGATGCAAGGTCCAGCAAAACTGACTGCAGCAACCCGCCCCAACCTATCTCAATGCAGCTGGACCTGCCGGAGACGCAGAAGATCTCCAAGCCCAGAGGGCAGGCTCCCCGAAACAACTCCGTGCCTTCACCTGATGCGAGCCAGGGCCGAGCCTCTGTTTCCAAGGACTCTCAGAGCAGCTCAAGCTATGAGCCACTCAGGCGCCGCAGCTCCAGCCAACGCTGGAGGGTGTTCCAGGGCCAAGAGAAGGACAGCTGGAGGGATCCTATTCGGCGTTCAAAGAGCCAGCCGGCCGACGACCTGTCAGAGAAGAAGCAGCACACTGATGCACAGAGCCACGGGGACCTGGCCACGCTGACCAGTGAGCGCCAGCAGGCTCCAACGCACATGCAGGTAGACGCTTCTGACAGTGGCAGCTTGTCGCAGTATGCATCACAGGATGAGCCAGCCCCTGCAGAGCTGCCAAAAGCCAGAAATTCGGCTCGGTCTTCCGATGCCAGGCAATCAAGAGAGTGGAGACTTTCGGCTCCCCCACAGCGGCGAACAAGCATGGTCGAGGCTGCGTCTGACGGAAGCGCTCGAGGAGGCAGAGCTTCGGTGACGCGATCATCCGCTTTCGCTTCGGGGGGTTCGGAGAGGGCCAGCGACTTCAGCTGCAATGGGGCCAGTCACGTTCAAGGTTCATTCCGCTTGCGGTCGTCTGGCATGCAGGGCCAGGTGGATGGGACACGCAAGCCAAGCGGCCACTGTGCATCAGACTCTAGGGGTAGCCGCTTGTCGAAACGCTCGAACCGTGCACCATCTCAGACATACCTTCAGCGCTTTACGTGCCGCTACACGGAGCCGCGAGCGGTCACGTTTAGTGGCCTGCGTCAGGAACACCCCTGCTTCGTAGATGCTAACTGTGCAGAAGGACTTCTGGGCAGGGACCGCACGGCTCTGCTGGTGTTATTGGAGCAGGCCGAGCATTCCGTGGCAGCCGTGAGGCGCCAAAACTCACTGGCAGATGCTGCCACAATGCCGAGACTTCTTGCTAGCCTCAGTGCAGAGTTCGTCTTGCATGCGCGAGAAGTGCGTGGTGGACATTTGAAGACGCTCTGTGAAGAACCAGTGGTGCTCGTTGTCCTACAACGTCTCATAGAAGTGCTGGACGCTCTTGTGCCGGTCGGGGCCGGCACCGCAGATGCTGTCGCTTTCGCGGAACCAGATACTTGTATCATGGGCGGTGAGGCTGCTTTGCAACACACTGAATCAGTTCTGGAGTCGCTCCGACAGGCGTTTGACCCGCATGGTTTCATCACAGAGTGCATGTCGTACTTGGGCAGAAAGAACCTGGAGAAGCAGCTGTGGAATGAACCGAAGCTGGAGTGCTTGGTTGATCAGATGGATGTCCTGGCCCTGCTGGCTGTTCGCATCGCATTGGAGTGGGACCCGCCCTGCTCTGTGCCCAAACCAATAGACGTAGCTACGAGCACCCAAGAACGTTTCTTCCAAACGGTCCTGGAACGACTGGAGCATCTCATGGAGCCAAGGGGTGTAAAGCCCCAAGCCGCCCAAGCCCAAAACCTGGCGCATCTGGCCTTGGCTTTGGAGACTCTCTTCGTGATGCTTCGGTCGGACCCTGGCCTGGAGCGACTTCGCAGCGTGACCTTGAAACCGCCACGACCTTAGCCCGGCTAGAGCATCGTGAGTAGTCAGTGCGAGCCGCCAGTCTCTGGCAAGCCGCCTCTGACCTGACACCTGCAAGGACCCATGGATCTGACAGTTCTCGTGTCGAGCTCGGGGGACAGCACGGATTGCCATCCCAGCTCGCAGCTCAAAGACGACGAGGTTGCCTCAAACAGCGATTGTCTAAGGTGGGAGTGATGCAACCGCGTGGTTGGCTTTACTGACCGTCGATGTCGTGCAGCTGTTCCTGGAGCATGCAGAGACCGCAGCATGTCAGCAACGCTTTTCTTGGCATCCTACTGCTTGATGCAAGCATGTTCAGCACGTTTATGTTCACGTTGGGCTTTTGCATGCAGTAGCAGCTTCCGCCTTTTCTCGGGAGCAGGTGCCGATCCAATCCCTGCAGCTCGGCTTGCCAGCCGCCGCACCTCGCATCCAAGATCTGGTATGACGCTGACTAGAGGGCATATGCAGCAGACCTCGATCCTTCGCTGACTGGAAGATTTAAGGTACGCGTTCTCACTTTGCTTCTGGATGCAGCAACAGATCTGGGGAGAATTCTGGACATGGTGCAATCTGTACCACCTTGGCAATCAATAACCGAAGCTGCCCTGACTTGTCTGACTGTTTCCTCCAGGACCGATTTGTACGAATTCTTGGCCAGATCTTATCTGCTGCCACGCTGACAACGTGTTCTGACTCACAATCTTTTTTGGGCTTAGCTGCGCCAACGTGCAGGTGTACTTGTACCTGCCTTTTGTAGTGTTCAGCCCCCCGAAGCCTTGTCGACATCTTCGTCCCATCCAGGCCCCTGCTGCTAGCCCTAGTGGATATGGCAGCTGCCTGAGCAGATGGATTCTCGCAGAGCCTCGTGCAGGCATGATGCAGGCATTCCACATCCACAGACTGTCAAGTATGTTCGGGCCGCACAATGGATCCAAGGTGAAAGCTCCCAAACCTCGCACCTGGTTCGGAAGCGTGTCTTGGCCTGGTCGTAGCGGTGCTTGTTCATGACTTGTTCATGATGGATTCAATGGAGTCTGGTGCTCCGAGGCCACAGATGCTGCGAACACGAGGCCGACCGCCTGCAGCTGGTCACTGCATGTGTCAGAAGTTGCAACATGCTGCGCAGAGCATCGAGCCCTGGCCTGTCGGAGGAGAAAGCTTCGATGCAGCTTGATCAGGAGCGCCGGCCAGGGTTTCCGTGCTTCTCGTGGTCGGACCGTCATGTCGTCAGGAGCGTCGGAAGAAACATTCCTCGTGTGCAGGTGCAAGATGCCCAGCCAAGTTGCTGTTGTGGCGAAGGCTGCGCTTCTCTTTGTGCTTGACACGCTCAGATGCTAAAGCCTGCCACCGGAGTTCCAGGAAAAGCTCGAAATCTTGCTGCAACAGTCACAGGACGACTGTGCTGCCACGCTTCTTGCCAGCAAGCTCACTTGGAGGCTCCAGATCCTCTGTGCTGTACGTAGATAATGTAGATGCCCTCAGATGCCGTGTTTCCTGAGAACCTGCTCTCGCTGAATACGCCTCCAGCATGCGAGCACTGCGCTCTTTGCTACGATGCTTCGACATCCGTTCGGCCTGAGGTTGGCTGATGATCGAGGCCCCGTAAGCAAAACGCTGGCTAAGCGAGCCCAGCAGGTCATAGCAGCTCAGCCGCATGAGCCAGGTCAACGACCGTAGCTGGGGTGGTTTGCGCGTTCATGCTGACATTGGCTCCGTGTTGCGGGATGGTAACTTCGCTAAATAACTGCATTCTGTACCGAAGGCAGCTGGTGCGTTTTACGATGCCGTGGAAGAGCTTGTCTACGAGGTGCAACAGCGAGAAACATCGAAAAACTCCTCCAAAGAAGTGCGCACCGGCTTCGACGCTCCCATGTCCCGTCCCATTGAGTAGCGCAGTTTTGACCAGGTGCACGGTACATGCTCCGTGCTGGACGATGAGATGTCAGACCTGAGGCGTGCACACGCTGCATGTCTTCGGAAAGGCTTGGAGTGTTCAGTGTTCAGCCGACAGAGCGATCTAGGTTTTCGCTGCTTGTGAGAAATATTCCTTTCAGCCGGCTTCTTCTCCAGGCCCCGCAGTGAACTAAGCGAGATTGCCGCACATCCCACATTTCATGATGCACTGACACCTCGCGACATGGGATCGTTTCCTTCACAGCCCTTTGCGCAGCTCACGCGCGGTCAATCGCTTGGCTTCAGCATGTGTCGATGTCCATTGTATGCGAGGTTCACTTCCTGAATGGCTGCCTCTAGTTTGGCACAAGATGAATGCGCATGTTGTGTGCAGTTGCACGGTTGCACGTGTCGTACGCGCTATGATCATGCGCGGTCACGAAAGCTAGCTCCTTGGAGCTTGCAGAAGTCCTTGTTTACAATTTCTTTTCCGGTCAAAGCAGCATCGAAGCCCCTCTTTCCCAGAAAGCGGGGACTGAAAGGTCCTCCAGGGCGCCCCCCCCCCCTTGTGTCCGACTAATCGGTCACGTGTGTGGGCATTGGTTTTTCGATTAGGTGGCCCCGCCCTTTTCTGAAGGCCGCGCCGACCCCCTCTTGGGTCTTCGTTCCTGATGGGGTCGGGCCGTTGCCGTGATATCTCAACAGAAAGCAGCATCGGGTTGCTTCGCGAGACAACGACAGACAGACAATCACATTTGAGTTTATATGTTTCCAAGTCCCCTTTTCCCCTGAAGGCCCTCCCCCCTTCAGGTCTTCGGTTTTGATGCTGGGCAGCGAAGCTGGATACAAGACAGACAGCTTACCATTGTATCTCAAAACAAAGAAACATCTCATTGCATTCGCCGCCAGACAACCACAGTCAGCCACAGTCAGACAGCCACATTACCATTGTAGTAACAATACTGTTGACATTCAGATTAGCATTAGCATGAGCGCTAGCAGGCGTCAACGTCAACGCTCCGTCAATGTAAGCATCAGTTAGCATTGGCCTTAACATGACTGTTAAATGTTAACTTCAACATTGGCACTAATGGTAACATCGGCGTGAACATCAATTTGAAGTGTAGCTCTTAATTACTTCACCTTTAGCTTTAACACAACGTAACATAGCAGTACATAGCAGAGCATAGCATAGTATTCATGGAATAGCATAGCAAAGCATGTGGGTTAACAAAGCGTAGAAAAAGCATGGCAAAGCAGAGCATGACAAAACAAGGTAAGGTGAGGTAAGAGAATATGCTTGTAGTGTGGTACCCGGAGATAGTTGCCATGCTACTTGGCACTATAGCATGGTCGCATGTTGTGTTGCATTACACTACAGATTATGATGGCAGAATTACTCAACAAATGTGTTGGGCTGTGAGCGAATACTGTGCATGTAGTGTCGTCGTGCCATGTGGTACACAACACTATGATCAAACATCTGTGAATTTTAGTGGCGTGTTTTAGAGGTTGCTGCCTTCTTACATTCAAAAACACGTTTGCTGACTGAGTCTCTGCAGCAGGTCTGCCTACGAAGACCTGGACGGTTTGGAGCTAGACGGCGGCAGGAGCGCACGGGACATGGACTGACAGTGGAGAACGGGTGACGGGCCCGTACCGTTTGTGCGGTCCGGTGTTTCTCGCAGGTGTTCCCTGTTGAGCTTGGATTGCAGTGAGCAGCACAAGGGGACTGGTTTCCAGACTGTCCGGGTAGCGTGGTCTGCATTACTATCCTTCGCACTTCGAGGAAGCGTGCCTCCTGCATGAACGCTTTGGGCAACATGCGTGACCCGGCCAAGTTAGACTGAGAGGCGACCTGGTCCTCAGACAGTATCGGTTCGGTCTTCTCCGAACTTGTTTTACGCACAAAGCTGGGATCCCACTGCGAGGCCAATCTATTCTGACGAACTGCTTGATGCCCCAGACCAGGCAAGCGAATTTTCGAACAACGCCTGGGCATGTCATGTTCGAATGCATGCCAGTGCAGGAGGAGAAGTTCTAGAAAATCTCTGGAGTGAGGAGATGGACAGTTCCCTGATCCGCTTTCAGCATGTCGTGAAATACCCAGTCAGCATTTTGGCCAGTGTAGTGGAGCATCGACGGTCAGATGGGCTGCAAGGAAGAGGTGCGACTCATAATTGACAGGCATGGACGTCAGCCAAAGCTTCTTGCAGCTGCAGCTAATTAGCCTTCCCATTTTCTCCAGACCCCATTGGAGCTCGCTGTGCATGAATGCACGCTCTACACAGAATTCGGTGGCTTTCCTTCGCAAATTCAGGTTTTACAACAGGTACACAGCTACACTGAGCAGCACATCAAGTTGGACATCCGGGCGAGGAAAGCACGCACACTAATTCGGTTGGTTGCTTCCCGAACAGAATGGGCTGAACTGGCCTGCAGGAGTTTCCATACTTTTTTAAGCAATTTTGGTCGCAGCTTCTTGAGGCTTTTTGAGTGCGTGAAAGTGGCCAGAAGTGGAAGTCCCAAGCCAAGCGCTTCAACAATATGAAGCTTGATGGCAACTGTTGCATGCTGTGTCCACATCATGACGTGTACCAGGTGCTGCAGCTCCTGAAATGCTCGAACCGTGCATGTGTAAGGAAGTCTGCTTGAATATGTTGGATGCCGGATTCGGTCAATTTCGTTGTTGAGGTGCTGCATGTATCAGCAGATAACAGAGGACGGAGCATCTGGGTGCGTGAGGGTGCCCGCAAAGATATTGTTCGCCTGTTTCGCGATCAATTAATTTAAGGTGAATTCCCGTGCCTTGCAATTTTGATTGTCGCTGAGTTGGTTTTGCGACGGATTACAAGGAGGCCGGAGGGAGGCGTGCAGCCGGCAGCGGCAAAGCCGCGTCATTCTTGCAAGCGTGCAAGGTGCCGAATCTGCGGCCGGAGAGTGGCCAATGTCACATTAGGACAGCCCTAGACTGTAGCTCCTTCCGTGAGTGAGAATCGCAAAATCCATCTCGTAGCTGCGCCTTTTTCCCCGCTCAGCCTGAAGAGCAGGCACTGTAGGAACTCAATGTCGCAAACTCTGGCTAAGAAAGACACTTGCCTTTTTGGGCAGACGGGCAGATGGGCAGGTAGGAAAGATCAACACAAGGACACGGCCACGCGGATGCACTCCCACACAGGTGCAAACTTAATCACGCGTGTCGGCTGGCCAAACCGGCTAGCCAAAAGACTCACTCGCAGAGACAGACGGAGACAGACAGACAAGCGGAGAGGCAGTAGTAGTAGTTGCAGTAGTAGCAGTAGCAGTAGCAGTAGCAGCAGCAGTAGCAGTAGCAGTAGCAGTTAGCAGTTAGCAGTAAGCAGTAAGCAGTAAGCAGTAAGCAGTAAGTAGTAAGTAGTAAGTAGTA